TTTTCGATGAAGCCTTAAAGTCTGCAAGAAGTCCTTCTGCATGTGCCACATCATTCTCTGTGGAATTTTGCATCTTAAAAGTGCAAAGACATGCAGGATCATCCCAACAACCAGAGTAAAGCAGAATCAACAACTAACCTATAAGCAAATTGATAATTCCTTTCCCCACCTTTGGTCTTTGTCGCAGATGAGTGTCTAATGAACTGTGCAAGGTTCAGAGAGGGTGGTAGGTGGTGTGTTGAGCTCCAAAATGATACCACTGGCATCAAATCAGGAGATGCCATTTTGGAACTTTAGCGCTCTTGTAACTGCCAAGACAATGATACTATCAAACTCCATCTCTTGCCTATCACCTCTTCCAGCTCCAGCCCGGTTTGCATCACTCAAATCTTCCAACCTCATAAACAAATCATTGAGAACAATATATTGTGCTGGAATTAGAAAGGAATATAAGGGAAAATGGCCCTTATATGATTATGCTTATTTTACTCTTTGTTTACGCTAACCAGTATTGTCTTAAATAATGGAACCTGCCAACTTTATCATTTTGAATACAACATGGAGAAGCCCAAGAATGAGGAAAAGAATTAAAATAAATGTATGAGTAGAATCCGTTTTAGAAGCAATAAAGAATAACCACAATGTGTTTTTAGGATTAAACATGATTACAGGTAGCAACTTCAACTCTATGAATTGCCTACAGTTAAACATTCCTGACTACTTATTATTGAGGTATAGAATGCATATATTTAAATGTGATTATCCTTGTAAATGGATATATGCAAGAACTATTGTTCTTACATATTCAACATTTTCAGAACACTGAATAGATTTACAGTCCATTCTGATCATAATGAGAGGTTCTGTGAAAATTATCAACCTGAAATTTTCAGTTTCTTTTTCTCATGAACATGTCTAGTGTTTTGTTTTCATTTCAGAGTTCCTACAGTCCCAGTATTTTGCTGTTGTGCTGTTCTGATTATTTTAAAAAATTCTAGAAATGCTGTAGGATATGAATTTGTCGTGGTTGTTAGAGTAAACTGGACAAGAGTGACTCAACAGCCTATGTTGTAAGTTTATAACGAAAAGTCAGGTAAAGCATAAAATGGTCTGTCCATTCTCTGTAGTCCATTTTGAGCATAATCTGGGATGAATTCATACGTCTTTCAGTGATAATTAATGACGTTTTCAAAAAACCCTTGGAATTGGGTGAATTTGATTTTTAATGCTTAATGCAGCATTTTAAAAATGTTTTAATATTGATTCTAAATCTAACTTGTAGCTACAGAGGTAGAAATTTCCAAGTATGTAAATTGAAGCCTCAAGTGTACGTCTGTCTGATTTATGTAAGATCTGAGACCGCTGTTGAAACAATGGACACTGAATCAAATGAAAGTTATTCAGAAATACAGCTGGAAGTCAAGTAGAAACCAGATCTGCACCACACATATGAAATGAAATTCAATCAACTTTCTCAACCTTAAGTTGGTTTGTGAAGCAAGGACATGTAGTCATGTTCATCGATTACTTTAACTCCAATAATCTGATTAGGTTTTATCTGTCTTTTGGTTTTCATATACCATGTGATTTCTTCGATCAAGCAGCTTTGTCAGTATGATACGGTCTGAGTGCTGTCCTGTGAGCTCATGTAATCTATACCACAAAGACTGAGTTCTTGTTGAGCCAGATGACTTGACGTTTAAATAATACTAATTATTTACATGGTCATAAAATCAATGATTTGTTCATAGTCTAAGTTTTATGCTTTCTGATGTAACTGTACATTACATATACAAAACTTACTGACCAATCACATCATACTGACTCCATTTCACTAAGAGCCTGACTAAAGGCAAGGCTGGTACCTTTATGCTGAAACAACACTGGTTTTGATATCATAAATATACCCTGCCTGTCTGGTCTCAACCAGCCCATCTCTCATCCTAACACACTTTTCCCTTTAAAAAATAGGAAGCTTTTCTGATGATAGGTACAAAGATGCATATAGGTACATTGTCCCTACATATTTAGATCATAGTCTGGTGGATGTACACCAACAGATCTAATCCTTATACGGTTATCAAAATTTATCTGTGTATGTTCACTGTGGTATGCTGTCTGCTATTTTAGATAGATATGCATCATTTCATAGATGTATGATAGTTGTCTGGCATGACATCTTCAACATCTGACTTGTTCTGATGTGTGATGAGTGGTTGATGATATGCAGTTTGGATATGTCACCTATTTCTTCACAGGACTTGACCATTTAGCATTACAACATCACCTGACTTAGACTGGACACAATAATGTAGATTTTTCCATGAACCTGTGTGTTCATATGAAAATATCTTTGTGCTTTCATGTGGCCCGATTTGTCCATTGATCATATTCTTGTGTCATCATCTTCTATCATTCCAACAATGCTTGTGTTTGGATGGTGTGGTTATGTCTTCCAAACATGACAGCTGCTGTAGACAGTCAATTGTTGACATGAACAAAAGCACAGATTTATTGTAGCTGTCTGAGAATCATGGAAAGTCACTTTACATTTGACTATCATGGATGTTCTTGTATGAACATTGCATTCTGCAACACTGGATCGTTGGGAGAAGAGGTCATGTGTGTAGGCTATGGGGTGTTCAACATATCCTGGAAGGGTGCATTTGTGTACTGCGGGCTGTTGTTTCACAAAAATTTCTGCCTGCTATTGAACACCTTTAACATGGTAGTCAATGCATCAATAACTGCTGCGCCAGTAGCATCTTTGATTTGTCACACAAAAGAGAATTCAGTGAAACGGTCAGTCACCTGTTTGTAATTGTGTCCTTGGGTAAGGAAAATATCAGTGATGAGCTTGTACCACAGCTAAGAAAAAATCTTATGTGGATCTAAAGATTCTCTTGATTGCTGGTTGTGAAATCACACAACTTGATCAGTTGATTGATGCCTTCTGTTACACCACACTAAAAGAAATATTCTTGTGCCAATCTTTCGACTTCCTTCTGCCCATGTAACATAAATGCATATGATATAGCATGTCTTGATGAAAAGTCATATAATTACCATTTGATTGCCTGTGAAGATAATATTCTTAGAGAATCCTAGTTCATTTCTGAAATATGAGAAATGATGTGCTAGCTGGGAGACTGTTGGATGTGTTCAGACAATGCTGGATGATGAAGTTTATGAGCTGTTGCAGCTGGTCATCATGTGATGTAGCTTGCTGAATCTGCTCTGCTTGGCTGTGAACAAAATGTATGAGGTCAATGTTGCATGTCTTGCATCTTTGGAGTTGCAATTTGTTAGCTCTTGGATTGTAATAATATTTAGATCTGTACCTGTTGTTAGAACAATAATAGAAGATACTGCTTTATCAATTATGTGAACAATTTCAGGAGTCTGTAGTGATGCGATGTATTGACATTTAAATTGAATAAAGCCAATGTATATGGATTGCATCACATTGTACCAATTTCCTGAGTTCATCTCTCAAAAATATGTAAAGGCATAATATTTTCATTTGTACCAGTGTCAATCTTTGCGTTTCATGCATGTTACCTTTTCTTTTGAGGATAATCACTTGGGTGAAGGTAAAAGATTCAACATTTCTCATGGCATTCATGTAATAAACCAAATTAACTACATGTACTATCTGACTGAGATCTGTAAGCTGTGACATTGAAAGTATGTGTTGGACATCATTGACATGCTTGTATTCCATGGACAGAACATGGAAAAAAGCTTGGAACTTGTCCTTGACCTTATTCCTTTATTGACTCTTCTTCACATGCAGCTCTGGAGCATTGTGTTGCACTTTGGACTGAAATGTGTAAGAAATCCAATTGCACAAGGAAACCCAATGTTCCCTTGTTTCTGTCACAAAATGCTGGACACTGTTTCAGTGGGTGAGACAATCCAGGTCTCATACAAAACTTGGATATTTTGCAGAACCTGTCAATGGCTGCATTAGTTTACGTAATGTTGAGAACCTGAAGATGTTGTTGGATAACTACAATTGGTTCGAATTACTTCTAGCAAAGCATCAATGATATACTCTTTAGGTTTATCAAGTAGAGCCTTTCTAAAAGATTTAATTGTTGAAAGACCATGACCAGTTCCATAAGCCTTTTAACTTTGGAGCTTTGGAGAAATTATGTTGTGTACCAATGCATTGACAACTGCTTATGAATTGATTGATTGTTTCAAACCTGGCTGTTGTCAGTATGATATGAACTCAAGCCTGTGTATCCTAAAGTTTATTCAAACTTTAAATTGGTGTTCTAAAAATTGCAAGGTTTTGTCAGGATGTTTGTGGTCATGATTCATAATACCAGAAGACTTAAACTGATCTTTATTTTTTTTTTCACTACAGCTCCCTTGTATTTCAGGAAGGAACTATGCACAAATGTTTCTCCGCCATTGAGGTTATTGTGCTTCAGTATCGGTTGCTTTCCTTTAACCTTGGTTGTAGTTGTAATTTCTGTTATGAACTCAGTTAGATGATGAGGAATGACTGTCAGGAAAAGAAAAAGCCCTTCAAACTGGCACAGATGCTATGACCTTTCAGTATCAAGTAGTTGCCATGAAATACCTGTCATCATAAGCTTTTAGTGACCCTTGGTGCCATCATGACATTGTTTGTTGGGTCAAACACAACTGCCAGTTTTATATAATCTGAGTGTTGCCCTATTTATTAGCTAATATAATCATATACCACAAAGATTGGATTCTTGTTGAGACTCGTATCTTGAAGTTTATAAACAACACTATATACATTGCAATCATATCACAGACTTGCATATAGGTTCAACTGTTACTGATTTAACTGTACAATACATGCATATAACTAACTGATGGAGCACACTACATTGACTCAATTGTACAGGCATCTTTATACCAGAAAGATACATGTCATGTCCATTGCCTGCCAAATCTGGAATGTATGCAGTTATACAAGATGGAGCAGAATAGAATTATGGAGGTCTGTTAAAATGTACCTTTCTCATAGAAAGAAACTTCTCTTCTTGTGGTAAGGCTTGTTTGTAGAAGCTGCTCAACTCTACTTGTTAAATGTGAAACATTTTGTGCAATTGCTTGAATCTTGTCGATCAGTCCAGCCGGCTGAAAACTAAGAAAGAAAGAAAGAAAATCATTTTTGAGTTATTCAAAGCATTTGCCAAAAGGCATAGACAATACAATTTTTAATGATTAAATTGGGAAAAATATATTGCACTGTAATCACTTCAGAACCTTTAAGATTCAGCAGCAAAATGCAAACTTTGTACTTAAGCTAAATGCCTAGATTTCTGATAAATTTATAACATATCCATAAGGCTATTAAACAGTGATGATGATGATATAAGGTTGTCATGGTAACAGTCATGTATCTTATACCAGCTTGTTGCTCAAAGTTTCCTGATAAGACAACACCATTCACCATCAGCCCTCAAATCACTCATCCATTCCCTTTGCATTCCGCAGCAAGAATGGGCTGATGAGTGTTTAAATTTTAAAAAATATCAACTTGCCTGTCTGTCTTTCTAAAAACCCGACAGCAGTTTCATTTGCAGGTCAGAAATACACCCACCTTGAATAGGTCAGAGCCTCATGAATGAGTGCAAATAGGGGCCTGATAATGCAACATCAATGTTGATGTAATTTTAATTGGATGGGCCAACAGTCCAACAAGCAGCAAACCTGCTGAATAAAGCTTAGTGGCATTTATATTCACAGGCTAACAAACACAACTAGCAAACAAAGCTGAAAGAGCAATCACCTGCAGTTTCTTGAGGCATTATAGTTTTTTTAAAAAATCATTCATTGGATTTGGATAATGCTGATTAAAATTTCATGCCCATACCTGATTGCCCTGGAGAGTGGTGAGCTATCGTTTGGAACTTTTGCCATCCTTGGGGTGTAAGGACACTCGAGGTGAAGTTACGATGGGTTTGTTACAATATACTAACGCATTAGGCTGTTTCGGAAAGTAATCAAGACTTAACCATGTTACTGTGGGTCAGGAGTCACATGTAGGACAGACCAAGTTCGGAAAGGAAATCTGTTATCTTAAAGGGAGATTTTTAGCAAACAGCAATAACTTGGTTGCCTTTAGATAGCTTTTAATTCCAGATTTTATTGAATTCAAATATCATCATTCACCACAATGAGTTTCAAATTCATGCCAACCAAAGCATTACCCTGGGATTCTGGATTACCTGTCTAATGATATTACCAGCTGTGCCACTGCCTCCCATATATGGCATTGTGAGTGATGCATTTCCAAGACATTTAGGATCGTCCAATTTGCTTCTTCTTATTTTCTGCCCTAAAACACTCCAGCATATACCTTCGCTGACTAAGCACGCACTTCTCATAAAGGATAATAATTCTTGAGGTTTAGAGTATGACCAAGAGAGCAGCAATGAAGCCAAGCAGCAGTTGGATTTTTTTAAAAGATCACAGGTGACAGGAGTTTGCTTCCCAACACATTAAATAAAATATGTCATTTTACCTTCTGTTCGCAATCACTTCTGCCAACTTTGGAGACTAGAATTTAGTTAATTTTGAGGTTGGAAAATGTCCTTTTGTTTCTGTTCACTAAGGATTAAACTGTTGCATGATAGGTGCAAATTCCTTCCTTTCCTGGAATAATTATTGTATGCGCCCATTGTATCAGGGAACGCTGGCCAGAGAATGATGTCTTCATGCATCTAATTCCACTGAACAAGGTTTACAAAGAAGTTCTCCCTGTATCACTTTAGTCATTACTTCTCTGCTGCATAATGCTGGAGGTGTTGTTACGTTTGAAGAATGTTCTCATGTCCTGACTTAGAACAAGGCTGCAGCTTTCACCAATCCCCATTGTCCATTCCACAGTCTTGGTGTGTCCTCCAGGTGTGTGGAGCAGAGATTCTAAGGGTCAAGTGCTGGCTCTCTCTGGCCGGTACTAACGTAAAGACCCAGACGTGGGCTGCATGGAAAGCTGATATAGGGAGGATATGCTATGAGTAGGTTGTTCCAGTGGAAGCAGGTATTGCATTTGCATAGGGATTAGACAGCATGACTTACCATTCTGACCACCATCTCTGCACAGAGTAAAGTGCCACTGACCTGCTCTCATCCACACAGTATTCAATGGAAAATAGTGATTGTGGCTCCCCTGCATCTTTGCTGCATTATGATGGCACCCACTTTATGATGGAAGCTCCACAGTGGACAGCTTCACATTAGTTCGAGGCTGATGCTGGTCCTGGGCTTGCAAATAGCTATGTTCCTCATCCATTCTTGTAGCAGCTCTTGGTACCAGAGGGATGACCCCAGGTTTTGTGTTTGGTTCCAGTGGAGATGATTCAAACAAAATGATATTGCCAATATCCAAAACTCTAATTTTGTTTTCTTTTGTGCAGGACTCTGACAACTGTGTCGTAGAAACCTCTAAAACTAGAGAGAGAGGGAGTGAAGGGAGTAATGTTTAACAGCACTTCAGTTTGTCCTGACAAACAAATGGCTGACAATTGATAACTTGGAAAGGGAAGGAGATGGGAGGCCAGCTACTTCCATTGTTGCTAGGATGCCTGCGGCACAGTACACCTATGTAAAGCAGATACACACATTATATATTTTTTAAAAATCCTATGATCAGTTATAGAGTCATAGAGCTGTACAGCATGGAAACAGACCCTTCAGTCCAACTCGTCAATGACGACCAGATATCCTAAATTAATCTAGTCCCATTTTCCAGCATTTAGCCCATATCCCTCTAAACCCTTCCTATATCCCTCTATATCCCTTTAGCCCATATCCCTCTAAACCCTTCCTATTCATGTACCCATTTAGATGCCTTTTAAATATTGTAATTGTACCAGCCTCCATCACTTCCACAGGCAGCTCATTCCATACACGCACAACCCTCTGCATGATAATGTTGTCTGTAGGTCCTTTTTAAATCTTTTCTCATCTCATCTTAAGCCTACGTTCTCTGGTTTTGGAATCTGCTACCCTGGGGAAAAGACCTTGGCTATTTACCCTATCTATGCCCCTCATGAGTTTATAATCTTTTATGAGGTCACCCCACAGCCTCTGGCACCCTAGGGAAATTAGCCCCAGCCTATAAGACCATAAGACATAGGAGCATAAATTAGACCATTCAGCCCATCGAGTCTGCTCCGCCATTCAATCATGGCTGATAAGTTCCTCACCCCATTCTCCCGCTTTCTCCCCGTAACCCTTGATCCCCCTGATAATCAAGAACCCATCGATCTCAGTCTTAAATGTACTAATGACCTGGCCTCCACACCCTTCTGTGGCAGTGGATTCCACAGATTCACCACTCTCTGGCTGAAGAAGTTTCTCCTAATCTCCGTTCTAAAGAAGTTTCTCCATATCTCCGTGCTATTCAGCTTCTCCCTATAGCTCAAACCCTCCAACCCTGGCAACATTTTTATAAATCTTTTCTGAACCCTTTCAAGTTTCACAACATTTTTCCTATAGCAGGAAGATCAGAATTGAACACAATATTCCAAAAGTGGTCTAACCAACGTCCTGTACAGCCACAACATGACTTCCCAACTCCTAAACTCAAAGCACTGACCAGTAAAGGCAAGTATATCGAACACCTTCTTCACCACCCTGTCTACGTAAGACTCTACTTTCAAGGAACTATGAATCTGCACTCAAAGATCTCTTTGTTCAGCAACACTCCCCAAGTCCTTACCATTAAGTGCATAAGTCCTGCCCTGATTGCCTTTCCAAAATGCAGCACCTCACATTTATCCAAATTAAACACCATCTGCCACTCCTTCGGCCACTGGCCCATCTGTTCAAGGTCCCGTTGTACTCTGAGGTAACCTGTTTGGTTGTAAGATGATGTTTGCAAATTACTTGTTAACTGGGCAGAGTATATTTCACGCATGCTCCATCCATTTGGAATGAGGGAGGAAAACAAGGATTCATTCAGGGATAACATGTAATCACTCCAGAGAAGGATAACATTTGTAGGGCTAGAAGGAATAGAATGCAACCTTTCCCTCCAGATAAAAAGTACTGAAGCCTAATACTGTGTACCAGAGTCTACCATTTATACCATGTCCTGCTCATGCTTGGAACAATTGAATTCCCTGCAGCCTGGTATGGAAAACTACCATTTAGAGACTCGTAGCTTCCCTGGATTATGTTGTTCAGATCTGGACCTGAAATTCCTTAGACTTCCTGATACTGGCTTCCAGCAGTCAGCGTGACCGCTTCACCAAAAACCAGGAGGCCTGGATTCAAATTCCACCTGGTTCAGAAATGTATAATCACACCTCTGAACAAGTTGATTAGAATATCCTCAATATCTCTTAAAACCTGATTTTCCTGGCATCAACAGTAAACTCATTCTCCCCTTTACAATGAGAAAGAAGTGTGATAGGAACTACTGACATTTAGCCTGACAAATCCTTTAATTTGGTTTACAGATAAACATGGTTAAATGCCACATTATATCTTCTGGCTGTGATCTGTTTCAGCTTTATTGGCTGTGTCACAGAACATGCTGTACCTAAATGCTACACAGTTAGATGAATTACTCCATATTAACGGAATACTTAAGGGCTAAACTCTTATCACGGACTAAAACTCAATGTCCCTACCAAGGACTCATTATAATGTAACCGACAATAAATCTGCTAATGATCACTCGAGACAGTTCTGTCAAGTTTATTGCTCCTATTGACATTTTGTGTCATTGGCATGGAAATCAAACATTCCTGATGATTACCATTTAGCCAGTATCTGTAAGTTACGTGTTGAAAAGGACAACTTAAATGAGACCTCTATAAATACTATTATAAAATTATCAATTTTAATTCCTTTTTCAGCAGTTTTGTGTTCGTAGTATGAGCTTTTAAATATTGACCTCCTTGTGTTTAATTACAATAGCAGTCAGAACCAAGGTGTGTGCCTTAACTTGAAATTGAATCATTATTCCAACCCTCCCCCCTCAGCCATATAAACTCAGAAGAGTTAATTTATAACAACCATCGTCCAAGCAGCAGCATCTCAGTTTAGCAATTTTACTACAGCTGTGTTAGGTGTTTAGATTATACTTGCACCAGGACAGTAGATGTGCCTTAAGCAAGACATTTGTCA